TATCTCTATCTGAATGGACTACAGACATACCTTTGAGTGACTCTTTCGAACATGTTCTTCTAATATAAGCTTATCTAACTTAGACTGTAGAAGCAAATGACGTCATGTAAAGATTTCAACGTTCTAACAGGTTGAGCTACAACCCGTCCTTATATCTGAACTCATATATATAGAAGGCTATAGAAGAAAATGACGTCATGTAAAGATTTCAACGTTCTAACAGATTATGCTACAACCCTTCCCCTACGCCATGACGTAAACATTCCATATCTAACTGAAACTTTCGAACAAGCATCTTTATAGAAGACTATAGAAAAAGACGTCATATAAAGATTTCAACGCTTTTACCGATTGCGCTACAACTCGCCCTCACCCCGTCTTCATAAAATGATATTCAAGACATGTAAAATTTGATTTTCAGGGAAGATTTACATTTGTGGCGGATTCAATGGTCAAGAATGTCTGAATTCTACGGAATATTACGATCCGAACACCAATCAATGGACGCTACTGAAACCCATGAGGAACAAACGGAGTGGCGTTGGGGTCATTTCGTATCGAGGTCATCTCTATGCTCTAGGCGGATTTAACGGTATAACTCGTATGAACACTGGCGAGAGGTTCAGTTTTGCCACCAATTCGTGGCAGACGATACCGGAGATGTATAACCCTCGAAGTAATTTCGCTATTGAGGTAAGACCTTAGATTAATTATATGAAGAATCAAAGTCAAAATGAAATGAATGGAGTTTTACGTCCTACTTTTCTGCACCATGTGGGCTAACTAAGACAGGCACCACCATGAGTGCAATAAGGGAAATTTGCCAAGACTTCGGCATTAGCCTGCTCTTTTTCGATTTCCAACTGTCGAGGGATCTTTAACGTGTACAGACTTGTCCCATCTGAACAACTAGACGCTTTTTCCATGCCAGCCCCTACTACCTACATCACTGACAGGGGGAAACTGGATTGATTATTATCTTGACATATGCCAGGATTGAACCCTGGACCTTCAGCCTGTAGTACACGGGGTCTCGGTTTATTGTCCCATCTGAACGACTAGAAGCTTTTTCCATGTCAGCAGGGATACTGTTCAAGGGATTGTAAAAAGTGTATCAGGGACACTGATAACATCAATTTACATCATTCTAATTTTCAATCAGACGTCTTTCGTGATTCCTGATTCCCCTAAAAGTGTTTGATGGCGTCAATAATCGGCAATGTGTCTATTGTTTTAGGTTATCGATGAGATGGTGTTTGCTATCGGAGGTTTTAATGGCGTTACTACAATATTTAATGTAGAATGCTACGACTCCGGCACGGATGAGTGGTAAGTATTTGCGGAGGGTGTGTGGAAAAAGGGGGGTTGGTAAGGGGTGCGTGTTTGCTATCGGAGGTTTTAACGATGTAACTATTATATTTACGAATGTTACGACGCGGATGAGTATTTGCGGCAAATTTACTCATTTGCGGAGGGTGTGTGGAAAAGGGAGTGGGTCTAGCAAGGGGCTTATGTGGGGCGGGGATGTTAGTCTGCTGAGGTGAACCTCCCCCAAAACAACTTATCAATTTACACAGAGAAATAATCCCCCCCCCACCCCACTCTTATGACGCCACGTCTGTTGCACCTACCCCCTACCCAACCGATATTTCTGTGGCTCAACAAAACTAATCAAAACATCCTATCAGTTCATCATAGTCTCAGAAGCATGCTGATCTTACCTTTACAGATGACAACACAATCGTAATCCTTGTGGACACTAATAATCTTGAAGCTACACCATCTATAATCGGAACACAGTCTTTTCACAGAGGTACACGTGGACATGTTTACTCTTGGACGAAATGCACGTGTAACCTAGTTCCAAGAATATTTCCACGTGTGTAAAAACCAACACGCGTGAATCAAAATTGTGGAAATAATTTAATCAATCGCAAAGTTTATGATATTTTTTGTTGGTTTTTGATGACAGGGAAGATAGAAAATGATTTACACTTTACTCAAAAACAAGACAGCAGACGTCTTGGTTAAGCACGTGGCCATTTTAACTAAGGGGCATAACTCTCGGATACAAAATAAACCACAGGCGTTCGTCAATATTTACACAATAACTTTCAAAAACGATTTTACACATTTTTTTAAAACTAACACGATCATGAAAAGACGAAGTCAAAAATATACTTTAAGGCCTCAAGAATATGCATTATTTCAATTTATGACGTCACCATCGCAAATACCATTCCCACTATTTTTCTGTATTTGCAAGAACCACAGACGTCTGATTGAAAATTGGAATGATGTAACCTTTCCGACCCCCTTCAGATGTACCTTAATAAATTCAGCCCTTTTTCTTGCAGGTACGATGCCACAGACATGAACATCTATCGCAGTGCTCTGAGTGCCTGTGTCATACGAGGTCTACCAAATGTTCAAGATTATATCCATCACGAATAGCACAAACTATATCAACATATACCGTACATTTGTGTTTATAATGCGCAGTTTTTAACCCAGCAAACTATATCAATCCATACAGAATATTTGTCCATTCATTTCATTGCAAAAATATACCAAATAATAGCAAAATAATAAGCCAAATGCATGAGTAAAGAATATACCAAATAAACAATTTTGTAGCTTTCTACTTCTTTGCTTATTGGGCTAATGAAGACAGGCAATGCCATGCAGTGAACAATGAGGGAAATTTTGCCAGGACAGCAGCATTAGCCTACTCTTTTTTGATTTTCAACTGTGTGCCTTTTCCATGTCAGCCCCTCTTACCTGCATCACTGACAGAGGGAAACTGGGTTGAAAAATCTGAAGGAATTATCTCGACCTATGCCAGGATTGAACCCTGGACCTTCAGATTAGCGAGCAAGCATCTAACATCACTGACAGGAGGAAACCGGGTTGAAAAATTTGAAGGTATTATCTCGACCTATCAGGATTGAATCCTGAACCTTCAGGTTAGGGAACAAGCGTCTAACTCACTAAGCCACTGCGACTCCCAAATATCTTAGCAATTGGAATCAATACAATACAATATATAAGTCCTGGTGCAACGCCAGCCAGTGTTCAATGAGGGCTTTCAAACAAGTCTAAGACACAATCTAACTCACTGAGCCACTGTGGCTACCAAATATCTTAGCAATTTGATTAGATACAATATAATAATATAAGTCTACCTGCAACACCTACCAAGCAAGCCCATTCTAACTCGTTGATCCACCGTGGCTTCTAAATATCTTAGCAATTTGATTGGATACAAGTCCTCGTTCAACGCCAGGCAATGTGCCTACCGAGGAAGCCCAGTCTAACTGAGCCACCGTGGCTCCCAAATTTTAGCAATTTGATTGGATACAACACATTTAAGTCCTCGTGCAACACTAGGCAGTGCGCCTACCGAGGAAGCCCTGTCTAACTAATTGAGCCACTGTGGCTCCCAAATATCTTAGCAATTTGATTGGATACAACACATTTAAGTCCTCGTGCAACGCCAGACAGTGTCTAACTCACTGAGCCTCACTGAGCCACCGTGGCTCCCAAAATTGAGCAATTTGATTGGATACAACACATTTAAGTCCTCGTGCAAAGCCAGGCAGTGTTCCTACCGAGCAAGCCCCTGTCTAACTAATTGAGCCACTGTGGCTACCAAATATCTTAGCAATTTGATTGGATACAACACATTTAAGTCCTCGTGCAACGCCAGACAGTGTCTAACTCACTGAGCCTCACTGAGCCACCGTGGCTCCCAAAATTGAGCAATTTGATTGGATACAACACATTTAAGTCCTCGTTCAACACCAGGCAGTGCGCCTACCGAGGAAGCCCTGTCTAACTAATTGAGCCACCGTGGCTCCCAAATATCTTAGCAATTTGATTGGATACAACACATTTAAGTCCTCGTGCAACGCCAGACGGTGTCTAACTCACTCAGGCTCACTGAGCCACCGTGGCTCCCAAAATTGAGCAATTTGATTGGAAACAATGTAGAAGGATCACTTTAATATTTTGTTTTTTTTTTGTTTGAAGTTAATAATGATAGAGACACGAGAACATAACAACGTTTCATATATTACAGATAAAATAAACAGGATAATAAAAAAATTCACACAAGATCATCTCTCTCATAATTAAAACACGCGTAAAATCAACTCAAACACAATGTATAATCTAGCTCCGATATTCAACCACGTCTGCGTTGGATTCAAACATTAACATACGCAGTTTATTCTAATTTGAGGTAGAAGAAATAGTTAGAAAGATTGTAAATAGTGACGTCATTAAATACTTAGTTTTAGTGGAATTGCAGGAATCGCAGACGTCTGATTGAAAATTAGAATGGTGTAAATTGATGCTTTCAGTGTCCCTGATACACATACAAAATTTAGAAAAAAACCTCTTTACAATCTCTTTAACAAGAACTACAGACATCTGATTGAAAATTAGAATGATGTAAATTGATGCTATCAGTGTAAAGAGGTTTTCTAAATTTTTTATGTATATCAGGGACACTGATAGCATCAATTTACATCATTCTAATTTTCAATCAGATGTCTGTGGTTCCTGAAATTCCACTGAAAGTAAATTTTTTATGACGTCACTAATCACAAAAGCTGATATACATATACAAGGAACTTTGCTATATGACGTCATAAATGCTTAGTTTTAGTAGAATTGCAGGAACCACAGACGTCCGATTGAAAATTGGAATGGAAAAAATTGATGCTATCAGTGTCATCGATACACATAAACAAGTCAGAAGACGTTCGCACTGTATAAACCGGACTTGTATCGTGTTCATTACCAAAACTACCTCCATATAAAATGAACTACTTGTATTTATGTTTTGAATCAAAACTCAGACGTACCTAAATATTTTCGCTGGACCAAACATCTTTTATTTCTTTTAAAAGTCTTTTCTCTGTTGACTGAGAAACTAAAACCTTAGAGAATATCAGAAATATACAATTTAACAAGTCGGAATTGTTTTCATATAGAAATTATTTACTACTGAATCAAATTCTAATTTATTGTCTGAGAAAAGTGAAAAGTTTTTTGAATTTTTTCGATATTTTTAATAGAATTGGAATAGCAGCCTCAAAATAGTACTGATAGTCTAAGAATATCTTTGCATTGATAAAAATATAAACATAAACACACATTATGTCTTCAAAATTTGTTTTTACAGACGACAATTTTCAGCCAAAATTTGTGACGTTGAAATTTCTAGGAGAGGAATGTGTTTCTTCGCAATGTAAACTTACAAAAAATTATATTTTTATCAACGTAAACACATTCTAAGACTATCAGTAGTATTTTGAGACGGATATTCCAATTTTTCTTAAAAATAACGGATAAAATTTGAAACATTTTTTACTTTGCTCAGACAATAGACATTTTGTTTTGACAAGGCATTTATCTGTACAAAACTACGTATAGTTCTTACTTCGAAATAACATACACGAACATAGTTCACGGCCATTTGGAATCTCTTCCTCAACTTAATAGGCCCATTTTTTAAAAAGTTTCTAAATTTTTTATGTGTATCAGGGACACTGATAGTATCAATTTACGCCATTCTAATTTTCAATCAGACGTCTGTGGTTCCTGTAATTTCTAAGTGTTTGATGATATCACAAAATATGCTTTATCACTTAAGGCCCTTCGCGATTTGTGACGTCATCAAACACTTAGTTTTAGTGGAATTGCAGGAATCACAGATGTCTGATTGAACATTAGAATGGTGTAAATTGATGCTATCAGTGTCCCTGATATACATAAAAAATTTAGAAAACCTCTTTACAATCTCTTTAAATCTGATTTGAAATATCATAATCTTTATCAAAATTCGACTAAAGCCACGGAAGAGATTCAGAATGGTTGTGAACTATGTTCGTGTGTGTTATTAAAGCAAGGAAGAGATTCAAAATGGTGGTGAACTATGTTCGTGTGTGTTATTTTATTTCCATGTTAGAATCATACGTAATTTCATAAAAGCATCAACTTTTTACATGATTTAGAAACAAGCTAACGTTTTTATACATAGATACAGAAACAGCCAAATCGTATTTTATATATACACATAAACAAACATCGCGTTCTAAGATATATACAAACATCAAACTCTCACTACAACACCATACCCATTCTTACTACACCCCATCCCCATTTACACATACAACCAATTATATATATATACATCTCACTACATCACACGCCCATTTATATTCTAGGCCACACCCATTCTTGCTACACGCCTCCCATTTAAATTCTAGGCCACACCCATTCTTGCTACATGCCTCCATTTAAATTCTAGGCCACACCCATTCTTGCTACACGCCTCCCATTTAGATTCTAGGCCACACCCATTCTTGCTACACCCCTCCCATTTAGAATCTAGGCCACACCCATTTACTGACACAACCATATATATATATATATACATCTCACTACATCACACGCCTATTTAGACTCTAGGCCACACCCATTCTCACTACAAGCTTCCCATTTAGATTCTAGGCCACAGCCATTCTTGCTACACCATACCCATTCTTGCTACAACCCACTCTCATATACACTAAGAATATCTACTTAAAAAACTACAACCCTATTCATAAATTTTAGTGAATAACATCCAAGATTTTATGATGGGTTCCTAGCTAAGCATGGATTTCAGAAACTTTACATCTACAGCATGTTTTTTATTGAATTGCAGTAGAACTATGTGCCACGTTTCAATAATGAAAAGTGATCTACAAGCCGAAGCTAGTAAAGTAAATATTAAGATGTCGGTTCATCTTTAAATAATGAGTTATATTTTACAAGCAATAACAAACACCCCTAATCTTATAAATGAGCTCTTCCAATTATACAAATACACCTTCACTTTGAAAGAAAACATGCATGTGTGGGAGAGTTCATTTAAAACTTAGGGGAGTCAAAAAGATGTATGGCACACTACAACCGGACTTTAAAAGACAACAACCCTAATCTTATAAATAAGCTCTTCCAATCATACATTTACAGTTTCAATTTGATAGACAGAATGCATGTGCGGAAAAGTTCATTTAAAAGTTGAGGGGTGTCAAGTAGACGGCTGGCACATTACAACCAGACTTTAAAAGAAAACACCCCTTAATTTATAAATGAGCTCTTCCAATCATACTTAATTTATAAATGAGCTCTTCCAATCATACATATATAGTTTCACTTGGGGGGGAAAATATGCATGTGCGGAAAAGTTCATTTAAAAGTTGAGGGGTGTCAAGGAGACTGCTAGCACACTATATCCAGACATTAAAAGATAACATCCCTCAATTCATAAATAAGCTCTTCCAATCATACATATATAGTTTCACTTGGGGGGAAAATATGCATGTGCGGAAAAGTTCATTAAAAAGTTGAGGGGTGTCAAGGAGACTGCTAGCACACTATATCCAGACATTAAAAGATAACATCCCTCAATTCATAAATAAGCTCTTCCAATCATACATATATAGTTTCACTTGGGGGGAAAATATGCATGTGCGGAAAAGTTCATTAAAAATTTGAGGGGTGTCAAGGAGACGGCTGGCACACTATATCCAGCCGTTTTTTTCATGCAAAATTTTTTTCACAGTTTCATTTTCACATCACAGA